AGGCTGGCTCTTTATTGGGGTGGGGTCGGGCCGGGTGGGGTGGCCGGGCGGGCGCGTCCCTCAGAGCCGGCGGATCTTCATCTCGCTGCGCTTCAGCGAGTAGTAGAAGCCCTTCCACTGGGCCCAGTTGATGCCGTTGGCGTAGGAGAGGTGGGGCCCGGCCAGGTAGAAGCCGTTGAGGTTGGAGAAGTGGCAGCTGCGGAACCACCAGGCCCCCGAGGAGAGCGCGGCGCAGTTCTGGGCGAACAGGTCCTGGTCGCGGTCGAAGGTGGAGAACTTCTGCCCGTTGTGGTAGCTCAGCGAGTCGCCTGCCGGGGTGGGGTGGGGTTGGTGGTGTGGGACCACCCCCTTGAGCTCCCAGTGGTCAACCTTGACTCGGTTGACCATTGTTGACCTCCCAATGGTCAACCTTGACCTGGTTGACCCCCGTTGACCACCATTGACCCCCATTGACCACCAATGGCCATCGTTGACCCCCATTGACCACCCAATGGTCACCCTTGACTCAGTTGACCCCCATTGACCACCCAAGGGTCACCCTTGACTTCCATTGACCATCGTTGACCCCATTGCCCCCCATTGACCCCATTGACCACCCAATGGTCATTGATGACCCCATTGGCCCAATTGACCCCATTGACCTCATTGACCACCCAATGGTCATTGATGACCCCATTGACCATCATTGACCCCCATTGACCACCATTGACCCCATTGACCCCCATTGACCCCATTGACCATCATTGACCCCATTGACCACCCAATGGTCATTGATGACCCCATTGACCCCCATTGACCATCGTTGACCTCATTGACTGGCCAATGGTCATTAATGAACCCCATTGACCCCATTGACCACCAATGGCCATCGATGACCCCATTGACCACCAATGGTCATCGATGACCCCATTGACCCCATTGACCATTGCTGCCCCCCATTGACCACCCAACGGCCATTGATGACCCCATTGACCACCAACGGCCATCGATGACCCCATTGACCACCAACAGCCATTGATGGCCCCATTGCCCACCCAACGGCCATCGATGACCCCGTTGCCCACCAACAGCCATTGATGGCCCCATTGCCCACCCAACGGCCATCGATGACCCCATTGCCCACCCGAGGGTCCCCATGGCCACCATGGTCTCACCGGCGCCGCCGTCGACGAAGCCGGCCAATGGTCATTGATGACCCCATTGACCCCATTGACCACCCAATGGTCATTGATGACCCCATTGACCACCAATGGCCATCGATGACCCCATTGCCCACCCAACGGCCACCGATGACCCCGTTGCCCACCCGAGGGTCCCCATGGCCGTGGTCTCACCGGCGCCGCCGTCAACGAAGCCGGCCAATGGTCATTGATGACCCCATTGACCCCATTGACCCCATTGCCCACCAACGGCCATTGATGACCCCATTGACCACCAACGGCCATCGATGACCCCATTGACCACCATTGACCCCATTGACCACCAACGGCCACCGGTGACCCCGTTGCCCACCCAAGGGTCCCCATGGCCACCATGGTCTCACCGGCGCCGCCGTCGACGAAGCCGGCCACGTGCAGCGCGTAGCCGTCCTCCTCGGCGCTGACGGCCGTGGGCGAGAGCGCGAAG